GACCCCCAACTGTCTGCACCTTCTCTGCCTTATTTTCCCCAGGTGATCCAAATCGATCTCCCGCTCTCGGGCTCTAGTAATCATGTCATTTAGGGTCTTTCACCCTAACAAAGTCACAAACTCCCTGATGTCATCCCTCAAGATCTCATGATACCTTACCTTCTTCATCTCCTCATCCACTGCATATTGCGGAACCAACAAGCTCCTCTCCTGGAACTTGGCAGTGATCTCTGCCACAGTCTTAGTAGTCTTGTGAAGGTCCTGAAACTCCCTCGCCAACTGTTGTACCTTAATAGCCGGTGCAAACTCCGCCCAAAATCGGGTCACAAAGTCATCCTGTGTCATTGTCTTAAGGGCTTCGCCTCCCAGAGTGAAGTCTACCTCCTCCCACCAATCTCGAGTTCTGTCATTTAGAAGAAAAAAAGAAAATCTGAACTTCAACCCCTTGGGGCAGAAACTCGTCGGAAAGCATTCACCATATCTGCTAACGACCTACTACTAGCAACGAGGTCCTTATCCCCAAAGAACTCGGGAGCTCCACAAGCACGAAACTCGTAGAAGGAAAGATTGCAAGCTCCCACAATAGCCATAATCTCAGTACGTAACGTGCCTAGACGCTCATCCAAAATCTTCATAATCCCCTCCTTGACCGTTCCAAATATCACAAGAGTCTGCTCCAAAATGTCATGGGTGATCTCCGACGAGATGAACTCCCGCATCTGCTCATCAATAGGCTCAGCACCTACATCTGAGCCTAAACTAGAACTTGAACCTCCTCCACATATGCTCATCACCATTCTGAAAAGGAAAAAAACAATCATACAAATGATCAGAACATACCTAAGAATCCTCATCCCGCAGGCTTCGTAGATTCTCCGTGACTCTCCTCGATTCGAGTATGGATCATGTTCTTTCAGTGGTATGGGCCCAATACTACCTTCCACACCTATCCATACTTTCATCAAGAATCATCATGAATCCTTTAAGACACCTTCTCAATATGGTATTCCAAGTACTCGCTAAACAGTGGACCCACACCTTCTAAAACACTTCATAAGTTCTCCTAGGTTCCAACCTCAACCTACCATCAGCTACTGAAGAAATCTCACTAATGTAAGCTAACTACATCATGAATATAATCACATGAAAAAAAGCTTAGATAATCCTTTGAGTAAAAGACTCAGCCCCACAAACGTTAGACTCAAACGAGAATTGTGGAATAGAGTCAAATCCATCACTCTGAGATTATTTAACCTTTGCGACATGTGACTTAATATATTCATTTAATAGTTAACTCACCTCACTAAGAGTTCCACAAAGCACAAAGCAAGCAGCATTCGTGAAGTAACACTCCAAGCATAGAACAAACATAGGACACCCTAAGCTCACTCACTATAACCCATGCTAGAAACTTCCACTCTCATTGTCGGTTGCCTTATGCATGCAAATTATACACAATGCAAAATCAAATAGACTGTCAAACAAAAGACTCTACCCTAGGACCACAACGAAACAAGGAATTTCAAAAGCATACACTTAGCAATTACAAATTCCAAACCTAGCACAGCATCCGATCCTCCTAGGCTATGAGACATCACATATCAGTCCAATCCATCCAATCATCTGAAATCCATACTAGCATGAAATTTCAAAAGCTCAAACAATCAGTCATATAAAGTCATCTCTCTTAGCATGAAATATTGAGCAGATCCTTAGCCCTAATCAAGTAAACAATTCTCATAACATATAACATATCAAGCATGTATGCGTATTCTGGGAATCACTTACTTGAGCTCGGCTGAATGCACGCATCACACCCCTTTCTTCTTTACAATCTTTTTAGAAAATTCATTTTCTTTCAAAAAGTTTATGAATTCCTCAGTTCGATTCAGACACACCCGGAAGTGTTTCCGAATCCCACAAACCAAGGCTCTGATACCAACTTGTAACGTCCCAAAAATTCATAGTAAAATTTTCATTTTTAAAACAGTAAACCATACAAGAGAGTTGTTCCAAAACCGATTAAAGCCTCTAAACATCAAATTAAAGATCATAAATTGCTAATGCGGAAAACTCTGGGGGATGATGTACAGTCATGTCAGGCCCTACCCTTTCAAACCGGAAGTACCTGAAACCATAAACATAAAACCGTATGCATAAAGCTTATTGAGTTCCCCAAAATACCACATACCATACATACAATAGGGATTGCGATATGCCAAGGGCCATCCCATGATCTTCCTATATAACATAAGCCAATGGGTCGGCATTGGTGCCTTCAACCATTAAGTACAGTGAGCAGACTCACCTGAATCACAAAGCCGACTAACACTCAGCTCAAAAACGCCGACCACGGCTAAATGCTCTCCTGAAAAATAATGGTGCTTAACACCTCCTGACAATCCACACAAGGTAAACGTTAAGTCTACCTTCAAAAAGTAGAATTTGACCAAAAGTCAAAACAAGCCAAAACTTCAAGGGTCAAAGTCAAAGTCAACAGCCCAATGTCAACTTATCCATCCTTATGTTGTGACTAGTCCTTGGTCACGTCTTGTGATCTTACTCAGTCTGATTCGAACTCATCCCGACTCAACTCAGTCAACTCAAACATGGAAAATATGTGGAGCTGACCTCACGTCGTGAGAAGCCTTTCCTCACGCAGTGAGTTCCAAGAAGCTCATCAGAAATGGGATCACTCACTCCTCACATCGTGAGACCTCAATGTCTCACGTTGTGAGAACAATCTGAAGCCAAAAGTCGAACTTTTGAGTCCTTAATCCATTAAACCTTGAATCCACACTTTTCAGAAGGCCTTATTACTTCATACTACACTAGAAAGTCGATGCTTTTAAGACATATATGTCCAATACATGTCTAGATCTCATTTGGGTCAAGAGTTGAAGAAAAGACATCCAAATTTCATGCAAGCTTCCAAAACTCAATCATTCTTAAGATCTGAACTCCAAGACACCCTTAAGGCCATCATAACCTATAAAGTTGCCAACTTTATGGTTTCCATTCATTCAAACTTTCCCATCTAGTAAGAAAAGTGGGACAAAACTTAGAACTAGCCTCACATAACAATAAAGGAGGAAGCTTTGACACTTATAAAGGTCCATTAACAATATGAGGTGATGATGATAATGATTACTTGCAGGCTTATTCAAAAGATCGCCTTGTTCTTCTTCCTTTCTCCCTTTTCCAAACCAAGAAAAGCTCCAAAATAACCCAAGATCAAGCAAGGATGAAGACAAGGGTTTTTCTGAGGTGAAAGAGGGTTTGAGGCTGATAAGAAACCCTAAAATGGTGTTAGAGATGCTTAAATACGAAGGAAACCCTAAAAGATCATGGACATGGGCAACAGCAGCTCTCACATCGTGAGACCATTCCCAAACAAAAGTTTTCATATAACCCATCTCACTTCGTGAGCCTCTATGTCTCATGTCGTGAGGCTTCTTTTCTTCCAAAATCCATCCATTTGAGTTGTTGAAACCCTAATTCGATTCATCCTAGAAAATGGATGTTACATTGGGGATGTTGGTCGTGGTGATTGAGATTGGAATTGTTGTGACATTTGGAATGACGAATAGTAGGAAGGAACACCACCTACAAACATTTGGTTTTTTTGTGGCATTTGTGGCCGGTAAGGTGGTGGTGACGATGGATCGTAACCGAAGAGCGCAATTAGGTTGGAAGAGTTAGAAACATTTTGGTTGTTTGACATTGTGAGAGTAAAATGGTTGTGAATTGTGTGGATTAAAGAGGTGATATGTGTGTGTATTTTCTAACGTGGTTTTGGGTTTAAAAAAATGCAAAAACGCCCCAACGATGGTATAGCTAACGACTATATTGGGTGCAACGTTCAAATTATTCATCGGTAGAAAGTCATTGTTTGCAGAAAAACCACCGGCAAAAAATGGGTTAGGGGCCGGTGTTCACCGGTGGTAAAACATGTATGAAACTGTTTAGCCTTAGCACCGTAGTTGCTACCATACAGGTGCAAACGCACCCTTTAAGATATAGGGGCACATGCCCCTAATGCCAATTCCATTACCTCATATTTTGTATTAGAAAAATGGTCTTAAAAACATTATTATTATAGATGCCACTAACGTAATTTGTGAAAAAAGAAATCTATCTATATCTATATCATTATCATCATATCATACTATATTATAAAGAAAGTATTTTTTTTTCTTTCACCACATTCATATGAAACTCCCAACTTTTCATATATCCATATAATATACTTAATTTATTAACTTAAATATGTTTTTAGTTGTAAACATTATCATAAATGGAAGACTTCATAACTTATCAATATGATATCACTACAAACTAAATGTCATTTAGTGGCACACATTTTTAATGTCATATGTGTGATGTGCCACTATAGCATGTTTATAGTGACATATTTATGTGCCACTATAAAGTTTAATGGATTTTATGGCACTATAGCATGTTTGTAGTGACATATTTTATGCACGTTGCATCGAACATTTTAATCCAATATTTTTTGACATCATCAACAAATTTCTTATTAGAAATAGAAAAATGGTGCATGATAATGGGTCTAAAAACACTAAAAGTTTTTAAAAAAAAATTAGCATAAGATAATTTATCAAGTTAATAAGAGTTTAGGGGTTATTTTTGTAAGTTAAATGTTTTTTTTGAATAATTTAAAAAAATACAGGGGCATAATTATAATTTGGATTAATTTATTCTCCAACAAAACAAATCATGTTAGAAAATGAGGTGCAAGACGTTAGCAAAACCTTTACAACACTGGTAAAAAGGAAAAAGTATAGAAACTATTTTATAAATTCAATGATTTAGGAATAAGGAAGAAGAATATAAGGGCCAATTCTGTAACTACGAATTCAATCAGGTGATAGCACGAAGATGATGGTTGTGCAATGTGCAATAAAAGTCATACTATTAGCTACAGTACCTATAACTCACAAACGAAAGTTTACCAATTGTATATATATAATTTGCCCCAAATAGTTCAGACCTAAACCCACTCCCGCTGGTAACGAGTATTTGAGCATACGATCACCATCTTCCCATCGTCATCGATGCACCATCACGACACCATCGTCCAGATCGTTGCCACCGTCTTCTAGTTCGTCGCCACTACACAATCACGCCACCGCACAATCACACTCCCGCACTCCAGGTCGTAATCTCCTTACGCCATCGTCGGTGCTGTATTTTTTAACGTCGTCATCTCCTTAGTCCAACTCTTGTATAGTAAGTTAAGTTTTCAATTTCTGCTGCTAACTTTCTACTCCTACTCTTAATGTATTCTATTAGAACCATTTAGTCTTATGTAATGGATTAATATTGTGAAAAATTCGATACCGATTAATGCACTTTGAAATGCTTAGTTGTTGAATCAATCGTTATCCTGTTGTAATATTTATTAGATTTATGTGTAATGTGAAGAATTGAAATAGATGAAAGTAATCAATCTGTTTAACATAAGATTTACGTTCTACCTTAAGATCAGATAACTACCTTAAGCATATAAAGATTATAACATGGATTAATCAGAAAAATATGTAGAAAAATAGAACATCCTCACATGGAGAACTGAAATCTATAAGGAGCTCTGATTTCTTGAATCACGCTCCATTTTCAACTTTTATATATCTATAAGGAGCTATATATCACATTTTTTTTCACTGGTTTTGGTGGCCTCATTGTCTCTTTCCTTGAATTTGCTGCAACTTTTATATATGTATATAACATGTACTTATTTGTTGTGGTTTTATAGCAGGATGGGTAGGCGTAAAAGGTTATGCATCACCTCAATTGATATCCATATTGATAGTGAAATTAATGATCAAAGTTTTGAGCTTTCTGCAACTGAAGGAGATCAATCAGGTCATCCACAAACTAGTGAAGGAGGCCAGTCTACTACTAAAGAACACAACTCTACTAAAAGAGGTCAATCAGGTATGTTAACTGACTCTCCACAGTTTTATGTGAGTGTGATTTGACCTCATTAGCCTGCTGTTCAAACTGAAATTAGACATAAATTATGATTTATGTGATATAACATAAAGTATTTATGTAGTAATATGATTAAATCAAGTAGTGAGCTTCGTCTTTTATCTGTGTCCAACATATAGTTTCTATCAGATAGGGATTTTCCTAATGGTGAATTGATGAATGGCAGTTATGTAATTCTAACCAAATATAAATCACTCTAAGCTTCTGTTTGGCATGTATTCATAGATCAACAACTTTTCATTTCCATCTAAAAATATTTCGTTGTTGAAGTTTTGAAATGCAAATGACTTCATTTTTTAATTCATCAAGTCCTTGACTTGAAGTCATGGAGAGACACTTAACAGATACTTCTTGCCCTTCTTCTAGTATGCCCTGGAAATTACCATTTCTTTCATGTGATATTAAAAACAATACAAACCCCCAAGGTGACTTTCTTTCATGTCTTTTTTTATATAAAATTTTAGTATTACCTTATATACTGGTCCAAATCCACCTTCTCCAAGTTTATTTTCGGGTGCAAAACTATCAGTAGCTTTATCTATTATAGAAAAGTAAACAATGGTAGGTCCATTCCTTCATTTTGGCTTTCATCACCATTAAACATTTTTATTTTTATTTATTTTTACAGCAACAAAAGGTATTAAAAGCATCACAAGACCAGTAGCAGTTCCTGCATAAAAGGTATTATCCCAATGTAGTCACTAATTGCCACTTGGTATCCAGATTATATAAATCTAATTGTTGCTGTATTTTGAATATGCAAATAACTTTTCAGAAGAATGTAGAAATTTTAGATTTTTAGACAACGGGAGGATTCTATACCAAATCCCACATTGATCATGATGTTGTGAGATGCTTGTAAAAAAGGAGATGTATATTGAAAAATGGCACAAGCTGTGAATGCACATAATGAGTGTAAAAAGCTCCATCTTTGCCCTTTACGTATAGGCTTTGTTTAGCAAACCTGATAGGGGCAGCATGAGTTCCGTAAATTGTTATGAAATTATGATGTAATTATTTATTGCTTCTTGATTGTTGTAAGCAGAAACATAGTAGAGAACGAAACACAAGTAGCAATTTATGATTTTTTTTAAATACTTGATTATTATTAAATTCTAAGAACAATTCATTGCGTGTAACTTTTATTTTATTTTATACGATAACAATTCATTTTGTATGCATGATCTAGTTTTTGAATATAATTTTTTTGTGGTGAAAAAATGTGTCACTAAAAGCATGAAAATAGTATTTGTATTAGCAATTATATTAGTGGCACAAAAAATGTCACTAAAACCCAATAGTGTTTTAGTGGCATAATAAAAAGTGCCACTAAAACTCCATAAACCTGCAGCGACACAACCAAAAAGTGCCATTAAAGGCCTTTAGTGGGAGCGCTTCTAGTGACACTTTTTTTTGTGCCGCTGATTGCCAAAGCTGTTTTTAGTGGCACTTTTTTGGTTTCAGTGACACTTTTTTTGTGCCACAAAATGTCATTTTATTTGTAGTGTAATTAATTTGTTAACTTTAATATATTGTTAAATAAATAATCTACATTAATATATCAAATAAACTTAAATATTTAGTGTAAAATTTAAAACCTAAAGTAAAATATCAAATAATGTTTTAAAAAAAATTCAATATATAGTTTTCTAACATAGTTAAAAGGAAAACATTAAATATAATAAATATAAAAGAACCTAAATCTATGAATCGAATTATCTAAAAGGTGTCTGAAAACTATACTTTATAATAACAAAATTCAATTAAGTTGTTTTTAAATTAATTTATAATAATAATAGTTAAAAATAATAGAAACTTAGAAATTAAACTATGTTAGATTACAAACAGTTGTTGATAATTTAAATAATCATCATGACGAAATTAAAACACCGTCATTTTTTTTAAATTAATAAATCATAACAGTAATAAATTAAAATAATTGACAAATATAACTAATATTATACACACGTAAAACATGAATAGAGACTATTAAATGATTTGATTTTAATAAGCGTTATTTTATCTATTGTTCAAATTAATTATAATTTTATATAAACTAAATGTAATAACTATTATTTTATATTTAATATAAATGACATAAATATTTTCAATAACATAAGCTTACCAAAATTTTTAATTTTATTTTGCGCAACACGCGGATATTCGCCTAGTATACTTATAAAAGAGACATTTTTTCTAATCACCTCATGCATTTGAAACCCCCACACAAATTTCCAAACACCTCATGGATTTGAAACCCCTACACCATTTCACCTTCAAAGTAATTAATATCACATCACACACTTTTTATAATTAAAATTTTGAAGCTATGAATGGAACTATGGATGGTGAATTTAGAGCATGACATGAATGAACAATTGATTTTGCTCCTACTTACTTATAAATATGTTCCAAAATGAAAATTTGGCAAGAATGATGAAACAAAACCTGCTCCTACATGGTAATTAAATCTTTTATGTCATTCATTTCATACATTCCACTCCTTTATTTTCCTCATGCTGCATGGTAATTAAATCCCTTTATATAATTCATTTCATAACTCTACTCCTTTAGTTTGTACAATTTCAAATACTCTAAACGAATTATGAATATTAGTCGGTGAAGGCAAAATTTTCTACCGAAGTTAAAGTCTCAAGATAGAATATCAAAACCTTTGCATTTCAGATAGGTTTCCAGAACTATATTTGTTCCAATCTTACTAAAGAATGCAAGAACAGGAGGTCTACCCACAATTCTTGAAAAGTTTGAAACTCCAAGAATGAAAAAAGATTTAAAACCTTTAAAAATGAATGAGCAACTCGAGCATAGAGATTTAATGGCGGAAATTCACAAGTTCTACAAAATCTACAACGAAAAAAAATGCGAAACTAGATGTCTTAAATTACCAAACATTGCAGGAAATAAGTAAAAGTTCTCTAATCTTTTTCAATAATTTTCAAAAACTGTGATTCAACACATGTGGGGCTTACTTAAGAAACTAAAGACATACGACCACAAATGATAACCAATATATAATTACATTAGATACTAATGTGTACATAAACATTACATTTACAATTTTAAACTAATAATAATTTTGCATTATTTATTTGTATAAATTATTTGTAAATCAAAAATTATACATACTATTTAATCGCATACAACCTTTATGTACAACTTATTCAGAATGAATTAAACCATATCAATTATTATGTAATAATTTTGTTAATTGCATTGTGTTCGCATCTTATTTGTTTTAAAAATCATAACTTCTCAATTAACCATATGCTTAAAAGAATGTTAACTATTTATTTTCCCATAATATATATAACCATATTAAACTAGATAATTATTTCGCTACGTAACACGCGGGCATTCGCCTAGTATCTTATAATAGAGGCATGTTTACTCAAACCATATTAATTTGAAACCTCCTATTTAAATGAATACCACTCAAAAGTCTCTTTATAATGATTTACCATTCAAAGGTTTTATAACTTATATAATATGTTTAATAAGCAATCAATGGATAGTCTATTATATAAAGGTCAATCTCTTTGAGTAGACATACAAATACAAAACATATACAAAATTCACAAAGAAAATGTAACGACCCAATTTTCCAAATATATTTTTCATTTTTAAAATAATCAAAACATTACCATAAACCATAAAATCTTAATGACAATTGTTTTCAAATTCATAACATCAACATTTTATATCAAATATCAAAGTGTCCCCATAAAAATGCGTGAGAGAGTGCATGCCGCGCCATCAAACCTTGCCCTTTCCCTTAGGCTCCGAAGTACCTGAAAACAATCAACAAAATGTAAGCTAATGCTTTGCGAGTTCCCCAGAGCATACCCCACACAATCCACATAATCACATAATCCATATTAGCTATAAAAGCTACATATACCACAAGCCATGCATACAAACATATAAGGATGTCGTGGGCTCCTCCCAGGGTCTTGCTCCAGGATGCCATGGGCTCCTCCACATGGTCTTACACATAGGTGCCATGGGCTGCCCCCATGATCTTTAATTGGAAAGCCATGGGCTCCTCCACACGGTCTGGCATCCAAGTGTCATGGGCTCCCCCCATGGTATTTACTTGGAAAGCCATGGGCTCCCCCACATGGTCTTAGATCCAAGCACCATGGGCTTCCCCCATGGTCTTTCATACAAGTATACCACATATACAACTAGCATACCACCTAGCATATAACCAAATAACATGCCACATATCACTGCATCAACTAGTGTACCACATATCATAAAATGGGTCAGCCTTGGTGCCTTCGACCCATTAGTATGGTGAGGAGACTCACCTCTCAAGAAATGCTAAAGTTGTAAGATAAGTCCCAACTCGTAGCTCCAACTCAACTGTCTACAATCACTGTGTGATTAACTTGTTTGTAAGGTCCTTGATGGAAGGATCTTCACCAATGATCAATCAAGCAAATGAAAATAAAGAAGAAATTGAGTAGAAGATGAAATGAAACCGAGCTTGCATACAATAACACATGGAAATTGTCTGATACAACTCAGGAGGACCGAAAACTAGCAGTGAACAACTGTAGATCAACTACTTACATCTGACAACCTGACAACCTATATATACTAATGTGGACCGAAAACAGGTTTCGGTCAAGCTGACCGAAAGCCTGTTTTCGGTCACTCCCTAACCGAAAGCTTGCCTAGACCGAAAACGTCAAACACACAATAGACTCCAAAATACATTGTCAAATGCCCTAACTCATCTATACATTGTTGCCTAGCCCAAACCATATATATTGTCCCTTCACCAATGATCAATCAAGCAAATGAAAATAAAGAAGAAATTGAGTAGAAGATGAAATGAAACCGAGCTTGCATACAATAACACACGAAAATTGTCTGATACAACTGAGGAGGACCGAAAACTAGCAGTGAACAACTGTAGATCAACTACTTACATCTGACAACCTGACAACCTATATATACTAATGTGGACAGAAAACAGGTTTCGGTCAGGCTGACCGAAAGCCTGTTTTCGGTCACTCCCTAACCAAAAGCTTGCCTAGACCGAAAACGTCAAACACACAATAGACTCCAAAATACATTGTCAAATGCCCTAACTCATCTATACATTGTTGCCTAGCCCAAACCATATATATTGTCACTTCAATCTCCCCCTTGGTTTGCGGCTAGCATGCTTCAGTCTTTATCAACCACCAGCACGTCTGACTTTCCCATGGCTCCATTCCACATCTCCTTTTGAATAATATCAACAACCATGGTAGTGTAATCCTTAGCAGCAGACTCAAAAAGGTCTTCAGCCACCTTGATCTGATGATGAGAAAGCTGATGTATATCCCACCTTCGAAACTGTAGCAGATCCCTCTTGTCATACAAACGAATACATCCATGTTCAAGTTTGATGACAGCGGAAGCTATAGTTTCATCAAACACCCAGTATTGCATGGATTTTAGAGATCCATCTGGATGGTTCTAAAGGATAGGGATCTGCTTACTTGATTAGTAGCAGGCCACATCACAGACCGAAGAGGTTGATTGGTTTTGGGATCAATGACACTCGGGTATATCTTGATGATAGACTCTGCAGTCTTCATTGAGGGAAATCCCTTTGCCACTTGATCTTCCAAAAATAACTGGAATTGTGTCGCCTTGGGTTTATGTGATGGATTTGCAAAAGGAGCCTTAGACAACTCCGTAAGATCAACCCTGGTCCAAGAGTGGAAGGCGTGAGCATCTTTATACAATTCGGTATTTCCGCTCTTCCTTCTCACGATCCACATGTTCAGAGTGTCGTGGAATCCCCATGAGATGATCCCTGACCTATCACCATATACGTCTCTGAAGCGATTTTCTCCAAGATCCGTAAAGGTGATTTTTGGTTAACCCCCGGGAGCGTTCTGATCCGAGCTCCTCTTAACAAAAATTGACCCTTCTCAGCAGACTTGGCTAGTTTAGCACGTTTTAACGCCACTACATTTGGAGCCTGTGCTGGTTCTTTGTCAAAACAATTGACAATCGTGGTTGTTCTTGTAGGAGGTGTAACTACGGGAGCGTCTTGATTGGGAAGATAGACCATTGGCTCATCGACAGATGATTTGAATTTGTCACCAAATTCT